TGGACAAATGTGCTCGACACATGGATGGTTGGATGGATTGTGATAAGAGCTGTAAGAGCCCCCAATAAAATGATTTTTTTTCGGGGTGGGGAGGTTTATTGCAAACTAGCATAATTAAAGTGATATTTTACAGTGCTTAAGACAGGGCAGACGGGCTCTGTGCCAGGCCTCAGCTTTGGCAGTGCAGTGCGCTCCCAGATGGCCCGGCACTTGCCGGGAACAGGGAGCCTGCCAGGAGGCGACGGGAGTGGAGAGAGCCTTGAGTGGCTGCTTTAAATTCCCCATCTGCTCGGGTCCTTCCTGGGGACAACAGGATCCCTCCTCTGGCCCAGGCTGCCCCCAGCTCAGGGTGCCTGGGTCCCCCATACCACTACTCATGGTGGGCTTGACTTTCCCTGCCGAGGCTTTCCCAGTGTGCACTGGGCACCAGCAGCAGCAGAAGAGGCGAAACGCTCGTCGACAGGAACCTACATGGAAGAAGCTCTGAAAACTGGCGGGGCTGCAAGGTTTCTGTGCCCTTGCTCCTCTGGGCACTGCATGGTGCTGCTGCCAGAGGTGCCGAAGGGTGAGCTTTCGAGCCCCAGTGGGAGGATCACAGAGTGGAACCTGGGCCTCGCACAACACTGGAACACGGGAGGGCGGAGGACCATGGTGGGCTCCCGAGGTCATTCCCAGGAGGACAGGAGCACGACTTCGGAAGGAGAAGGGAGGGTTGTGTCTCCATTCTGTTCAAGGGGCTCCGGAGGTGGCCCTGCAGTTCAGGGTCACTGGGTGGGCACAGCGAAGTCCCAGGGGGCCTCCTGTGCACATTTCCACATAGCCTGCACGAGGTGGGTGAAGCCCAAGTCTTTGGGCTTTTCCAGGCCTCGCATCAGTCGCTGCTTCATGATGGAGACAAATTCCTTGTTGCTCAGCTCCCCGTTGCCATCGCAGTCAAAGAGTGCAAACACCACGTTGCATACGTGGTCGGAGAGCTCCACCTTGGCCACTGTCCTGGCCACCTGCCGCATGGTCACTTTACCAAGAGATGCCCCAGCCATATGGTAAAAGCTCAAGGCAGTGTCCACATCATTAATATTCTTTAGGAAAGTAAAGAAGTTCTCCACCTCCTGAAATGTTAAACCCTTTCCTTCTTTGAAGTGCCTCTTGAGTTGTTTCTGCATGGCGGTCAATTTCTTGGACTGCACTCCACTGCAGGCCAACAGCATGCCACCGAACTGCCTCTCAGCAATTCTCCCGTCCACAGGGTCATGGCATTCAAACTCTAGCTTTACAACATCATGCGGAAGTTTACGTTGAAATTCAAGGAAGTTTTTGATTGTCAGCTTCCTCTTGAGATCAGTGCCAAAGAAGTAGGTTGTGAGGGCTGAACACAAGCCTGTCTTGAGAGTGCTCCCAGGGGTCGGACGATCTCTGTGCCTCACACCCATGCTGGTTTGGGAGCGGATGATGCTCTGAACCTGTTCAAACTCCTCCATGTCTGCTTCTCCATCTCCATTTAAGTCAAACATCTTGAAGGCGATTCCGTAGTTTCTCTGAGGAGCAGAAAGAACAGTGGTAAGAAAAATGTAGTCTGAAAAGGATATGAGTCCACATTCCCCAAGCGTGTAAAATACACTGCCTTCGTCAGCAAGTTTTTCTCGTTCCTGGGAAATTTTCTTTCCATCAAAGCATTTTTTTATATATTGATCCAGGCCCAAGTGTTCTGGCTGTTTCTCATTGGGCGTTATAGATCGCACAAAATCTTGTGGAGTCATAAACACTTCAGATTCACCAGGCTCTCTGATTACTTTCAAGGTGGTGAAATACCGGAAGATTTTGTCTGGTGTAGAGTAGGCTCGAATCCTATTCTCATACTCCATCACCTTTCTGTCTCTGAATCCAGAACGTTTCTTCTTCTTCTCTTCTGAATAAGGCTCAGGACTAGTATCTGCAGCCTTTTGTTCATGGGTGATGAACTTCTCCTTCCCCATTACTCTTCCCTTCAGTCTTTTGGTTGGTCACTGATGGTTGAGATTCTGCATGGGCCCTCTTCCACAAGGGACCAGTACTCGCAGTCACTGCAGATGCTCCCAGGAACGCTGCCATCATTAGTCGTCTCCTAATCTGCATGGGCTGTGATCCTCCAGGGTACCAGCAAGTGCCCAAAGCTCGTTCTGCCAGCGTAGAAAGTGAGTGAAGACCAAACATCCCGGCCACGATCGAGTGCCCAGTTCTAACCTAAAATGTTTTTTTTTTAAGAATTGTAAAATCATTACCACAATCTATTTCATTTTATCCCCCCACCCTGATGAAATCACCTTTAAAATGAGTTTGTAATCACCTTTTCCGTTCTAGTGCTCACTCCCCTCCCACCTTCATTGTTTACTCTTGAAATCCCCTCAGTCTCCACCGCCCCCACCACCACCACACTTCATTTCCTTAGGGTATAAACAGAGAGAGATGGCAGGATCTTCAAATATTTGTATTCGCATCTGTTTAAGGAAGTGCGACACTGTTTTCCATCGTCGGTGTACAATTCG